TCCCCAGTGCTTATTTGCACAGTGTTGAGTAATACAGGGTGCGTTCAAAGCTACCAAAAACCATGACCACTACTCAAATATTACGCACTGAGCTGACACCGGAGGGGCGTAATGACCCAAGTGCCACTCAGGCTGAAGGAGGGATTACCTCATTCAAAAGAAGGTGATGCTCTAAATAAAACCCCACACGCTCAATTTCCTCTCACCCTCACATACACACACACACCATCAGACTCAGTAAGAGCTGTGTGGTTCTGGCGGTCAGCATGTTGTGCAACTGCTGTGCTCACTTTCTCCCTCCTCTGTCCTTCCCTCAATCTCTTACGAAGGTGGAGAACAAGGTGTACACACAGGTCAACGGTCAATGGAGCTCTGTGTTGTCTGGAAGTGATACCTTAGCAATGTTCGGGTCTGTTTGTGTAAGTTTTAAGAGTTTGCTTAATGTTTGCAAGTGCATGTCTTTTTACTGCAAATCTGTAAAATCCGTTAATACTCATATGTCTAGACGACAGATTGAATAATAAACCACAGATGTATAAATTTAGTTTATTTTTAGTGTGACTTTCTTCCTCTCGAGTGCTGGGAAATCATTCTTGCTGTAAAAGGGAAGTTTCCAACATTTGCTTGCTGAATTTACAAGACGAGAGTTTGGTAAAGGAAGATGGCTGCGGTTGAATAACAGCTGACCACCCATGTGGGTTCATGGTAAGAGTCAAGAATGATTATGGTTGTGGCCTTGTCGGAATTGGATGAATCAGCTAAAATATGTGGTACGGTTTTAATCTGTGGTTGTAACCAAACTATCTCACGACCATGGACCTCGGTTGTTGTTGAACCATTTGGTGTTACTGGCATTATGCTGTGATGTTCAGGTGATGATTCCTTCACTCAAGTAGCAGCTCAAATTTTCACCACAAAAACAATCGCCTCCTCTTTCCCTCCATGATACAGAATCCTCACACTTGGTGTACCTATAATCTCTCTGTGGCACGTGGTTTAGGAAATGCCTGGCAGTCTGGATCCACACATGTACTGCTTAAGGGAAGTGGAGGCAGAGCACCTTCAACCTCACCTCCCCAGTGCTGTTGATTTCATTAGTGGGTAGACGCAGTTAAGGAAGTGTGTGCTTGGCTTGCACTCAGCCGTGGTGTCTGTGTCTCTTCTGCCTGTCTGAGCAGGCCACTTGAGATGCTGCTGAGTTTGGGTTTGGAGGTTGTTGAGTCTGCTTTGGCGGGCCCGAAGGCTTCGCAGATTAACATTTAGGCTCTGTTCGAATGGCATCCAACACATGTCCGAGAAAGACTGTAAGCTCCGGTTTGGTTTGTGTCTCAGATTACCAGGTGGTTTGGAGATAGATCTTTAAGGTGTACAGTGCGTGGGAAAGTGGGATGTCTGTTTATGTTCATTATGTGCAATTGCCAACATGAGTCTCTGTGTTTCATGTGGGCTTGGATGGATTTCTAAACGGGCGTACTGTTGGAGGGCCCCTGAGCCAGAGCCTCTGTTTGAAGTGACTGTTACCATTTCTTGTTGGGAAGTCTTGGAGGTGTCCTGGTTGTTCTTTTGTTGTTGTCTTTTTGCTCCTCAGACTTATCACCTTTTAATATAGAGTATCTGCAAAACAAATACAATTCTATATTTGTTTTGTTTTTTCTTCCTATGCAGTTGAACAGCATATTGAGGCTACATTAAAATATAGTTAAATCAGTTAGACAGAAAAGCAGTTGTCCTTGAAGTAGAAACTTCATCTTAGGTTGTATTGTTCCTAAAATATTTTGCAGTGTGCTGTAGTATTTTGTATCATATGTGTGCAGAGAGAGCGTCATTAGGGCTCAAGAGTCAGACAGCTACTCAGTGGGAACAAAATACTGGACCAGCAGCAGTACTTGGTCCACCAGAGAGTATGGTCCACCTGCAGAATGTCACTGAAAGAGACTCAAAATGACTACAAAGAGACATAAAATGACTTCAAAGTGACACAAAACTACAATGACCCCAGAGAGAAAGAAATTCACCAAAGAGAGACACAAAATGACTTCAAAGACACACAAACCGACCAAAGAGCTGCCTAATGATTACAATGAGGTGCAAACCAACTGCAGAGACACACAACAACTACAAACAGACACAAAATGACTACAAGGTGATGTAAAATGACCCAAAAGAGACGTAAAAAACCAACCAAAAATAGACACAAAGCGGCTATATATCTGGATGTTTTGCTTCTGTGTAGAAAGGGTGGGTGGCCTTTTACATGTCTGTGCCCAGGGGCCCATTTTCTCATAATATGTCCATGGATGTGGTCATCAGACATTGCACTCAGTTATTTGACAGCTGTTTGGATTGAGAACAGCAAAGGGACTACATATCACAAAGGAGTTGGCTGTGCCCTTTTACAGCCAAGGGTCAGACTCTCCCCTATTTCCTCATTAACGCTACTTTTCTGTCCTGCTGTTTCTTTCTTTGTGTATTTTTGGATCTGTTACTGTACTGTGTGTGGTGATTTCTTTTTTCAGCTAAATCTGTTTTATATAAAGTGTCACACTGCCTGCCAGACAAGGCTCTTTTGCTGTAACTTTGGATGCCGCTCATGTTTAATGACTGAGAGAGGCTTTGATTCACCATCAGCTCTTCTCTCTCCCCTCATAACCAGAGTTTGTTATGGTTTGTTTTGAATGGACTGATTTCATGGGAGGAAAATTGGGGTTAAGTTAATGAGTTTGAGTATTTTCAAGACACCCTGCGAAACCACTTACCAGGGGTATATTGTGTTCTCATGCATACCGAGAGTGTGTGTTTTGCTACGTGCGTGTTTTCGTGTTTGAGAGCGTGTACAAGTCCCGGTTCAGCAGTGGCTCATGGTGGACAGCCAGAGAGGATTGCGTGAGATTTTTTAACAACGTCTGCTGAGCTTTTCAACAAAAACATTTGATAAACAGATTGTGGAGGTCTATAAACCACCCGTCTGTGTCTGATCCCTGTTCTTGCACAGCCTCTGTGTTTGAGTGTGTCGCTCCGGGTCTTCAGAGAGTTTGACGCCAGCGGAATGGTGGGCATCCAGAGCCGCCTGTTAAATTACATCTGCACCAAAACCACAGACCTCCATACCAGACGAGCTTCCCTTCCAGCCAGCCAGAAAGTCGACCAACGACCAAACACTGCCCAACCAATACTGCTCACTTTCTCTCCTGTTTGTTTCTTTTAACATTGTCTTTACTTTCTTCGTTATAATTGGATTGAGCTTTGAGAGGTGAGCTTTGATTCTTCCTGGCAAAGACTCCGACAACTCATGGCACCATAAACAAGCATAAACAGATACGGCAGACAAACATACACTTATGACTAATCACAATGATTAGAAAAATAGCACAGAAAGTTTGAGAAACACTTTGGTAAATGGTTGTAAAACAAGAATTTGACTGCCTAGCTATGTGGTTGCTAAACAGTCACAGACGACGGCAAAGCTATAAAACAGACCTGATCTCTGCACACATGGTGGCAATGAACGCACCTTTTTCTAAGTACTTGTGAGTTGAAGTCTGCTGTGAACTCCCAGATTACTCCCAATCCCTGCTCCCAATTAACTGCAGTGTATCATTCGGTGTACATTTCAAATTAGAAAATGTCACCTCATGTTTGTGTAACTTCTGTGCATCATTGTAAACTCTCCTTTCACTGTCGCAATCCACACTGGAGTCCATACCTGCAGAGACTAGCAAACCTGTCACATGCACACACACACACACACACACACACACACACACACACACACACACACACACACACACACACACACACACAATGACAAAATGAGTATGATATGAAGCAGAGGGGGTGATGAAAGGTGTCATTTGGGTGGCCAAATGTCACGTATTAGTGGCTTTTGTTGTATGGTATTGTCAGGTTAATGGAGAGAAACTTTTTTACAGCTATGTGCAATTTTCTCTCCTCCTTACACAATCTTCATGCCTAATACAAGGGTGACAGTGTTGGCATTTAAACAGGAGCAAGCTGAATGTGAGATTACATTTGGCAATCCCACATGATCACAAAATAACTCCTGACAGTCATCAGTCTAAAGAGAACTGGCGAAAAACAGCTCAGGGGAGAGTTGGGGTGGAAATTTGTGCAATTTTCACACATCATTTCAGCAGTTGAAGGCAGTCCTGGACACCTACAGTTGCTCACTTATGATAAACAAACATGCTAACTATCCTCTGGTGGTTTCCTCTTCGCACCTGACCATGGCTGTGAAAATATTTGGCAGCAGGCGATGTGGTCATTTCTTCCTGAAGCAAATTAAAGTCAACAGATCTGCCTGTCACAGTTTCTGAGAGCCATCTATAAGCCAAACACTGACCTGACCAAATGCTTACCACACAGCAGCAGCAGAGGAGCAGGGAAATTCATAAGCAATATGTGTGTTTGCAACTCATGTTTGGACATATAAAGATTTATGGGACTGTTTTAGTGTAACTTGTCCTGTAGCAGTGCTGGAGATTGTATTCGTCTTTAAAACATATATTTGGGTCACTTCTAAGCAAGAAACATTTTCTTGGCTTTCTTGGTTTTCTTTGGCCAAAATGTTTGTAGATGAGGTAGAGACAATGTAAAAAAACATTTCTCCTTCACAGCAGAAGAGATTTTATATCAGTTCATCACTTCAAATAGTTTGTAGTAGATTAATTCACTAGTTTTAGCAGTAAATGCATGTTTCACATGGGTAGTTTTCTCACAAGTGTGTGGTATTGTGTGTAGTGTTTCTCATAGTAGCCTGAGATGAACAAATGCACAATGTCAAGATTTCAAACTGTGCATGTAAATACCAAGCCTGCTTTATCCCATGTGCTGCTGCTGGCCATTGATTTCAGAGAGCTAAAAAAATTTATACTGCTATTTCTCCTCATTGTGAACTCCAGTCTAAGATTACAAAAATAAAGCCCAGTCAATTGCATATTAACCAATAGCTTATCTCTCTCTCCTTGTGTTTATACCTCCAGTTCTTTGTGTGACATCCGAAGCCTGGGATGCTGGTGACCATGCTGTTGGCTCCTGTCTGTGTGCTGCTGATGCTGGGGGCGCGAGCTCTTGCTGGAGGCTACCCCCCCATACCCCACATGAAATACATGCAGCCCATGATGAAAGGGCCTATTGGACCCCCATTCAGGGAGGGCAAGGGACATTACGTTGGTGAGTAATCCCTGTGGGTGTAGTATATGGGTGTCTCTTTTATTTTTATGTCTCACTCTGCCCTGTGTGGGGCCCACAGGTCCACTCACTCTCACTGGTTCAGTGGAAGCACTGGTAACTTCAGTATGGTTTATCCCAATTTTAATTAATACTCTTCTCGGTAAGGGCATTTTAAATATGGGAAACTGCAAATTAGCAACAACATAAAAGACTATTTGACAATTCTCTGTGTCAGTTGTTCCACTTTACTTCCTTTACAGTATCTTTGTTTTTTCAAATATCTGAACAAACATGGGCTTAATGTGAATAATATGCACAAGTCCAAAGCTACACAGAGAAAATACACTCAAAAACAACTTTTTATGAACAATGTCTCCAGCATCGCAGTTTAATATGTGATCAATATGGAGACCCTCCCAGAAACTAGGACAGACATGTGCGCTAAAGCCATTGGGTTTCTGCAGGCAGTTAAAGGGCTCACCAAAGTGTCTCCCTGCCCTGTGGGTCCAGCTGCATTTGGCAGGTCCTCAGTTGGGGCCTAATGGAGGCCTGATTACCCACTGTTTGCTGAGCTCCACTGGGCCAGTTGTTCCTTCTGCCATCTGGATGCTGTTACCCCACTGTTTATCACATATTCCTCAGCTGTGGGATGAAGTGTGAAGAAAATAAAAATAGATTAAATAAAAGGCTCAGCCAAGGGAACTGGGAAAGGGAGGGGGTGATAATCATCCTGAAAAAATGTGCATGCTGTCATCATTATCAAATTTGACTCAAGTTCTGGGTCATATGAGATGTGCCTTGTCTTATCAGAGGCCCCTTCTTCAAAGCAAATTTTATGTTTGACAAAGAAAGACTCCAAAAAGTTGGATTCAGAGCAAATTTAGTGTTGAAATTTTGCATTTAAATCCCGCACAGAAACATCAAAGATTTGCTAAAAGAAGTTATGCTTTCTCTAAATGGGATTTCAAAGTGTGGTTGAAACAAGATTGCAATTTGAAGGAGTAAAACTAATGCCTCCACTGACTCACATGAATACAAGGCCTCTACTGCCTCTCAGTGGGCATATGTCCACATTGCATCACATTTGAATAATTTATCAATTATTAATTAACCATATACATTGTCATAAGATCTACTGTATCATCGGTAGAATTATAATTTATAAACACAGTCATCTTTAGGAAATAATTTAAAGCATTTGTATAGTGCTTAACATATCAAACAAACAGACCACAGCTACAGAATCTCACAACTTTGCATATGGAGTCCTTCTGTCTAGGTCAGTGAGGAGAATGTGGTCATGTGATTAATAATAGATGTTCAGGAGAAAAGACTTTATAATGAAAAATGTTATCAAATGTTTCAGTTCAATATGTTTAATGTACAAAAGGCAAACAGTCATGTATACAAATCTGCTGCTTTTTCTCTTACTTTACTCATTGTACTTCAAATTCAAGCTTACTAGAGCAGATTTCAATATATTTTTTGACTGGAACTGTCAGTTCAAATGTGTTTGAAAGAACAATTTACGTCTTTGAATCCCGGAGAGCACTGCAACACGTAATGAAGAAGCTATTATATCCTCTCATGTGTGAAGCACCTTATTTCTACTCTCTGGGTGATGTATTAAGGTGGTCCACAGCTCCAACGCAGACCACAGCTAAACAAACAAAACTGAGGCTATGATGCTCATTATCCGCCTGAACACATTGGTGAATGTATGGAAAACAAAGAAATAGTCTTGCTATTCCTAGAAAGTGCAGTTTGGGCTGCGGGTGGTACCCTTACTGACAAACCTCAAGTATAAATATATTATTTAAACCACTTATTTGGGGGTGAAACCTAAAGTGAGCACATCTGAAATCTCTCTACTGAACAAAACTCTGTACAGTACGGTAAATAGGTCAAAGTTAAAGCTGAAAGTCAGCCAGTGAGCAAAATGGGTATTCATTTTAAAACTTATTTTCCCTTACATAAAAGTGTATTAAAACTTGGTTTAACAACTTGGTCGTCTGACTGCTTGTGTTCACCCTATTGGGCTTTTCTAGTGTTGCTGCATCCACAGGTTTTTGTAATAAAGTTGGTGGGTTAGATGTTAGCATAAACAATAGGCTCCAACCACAAAAATAAAATGCTCATTGTTAAAACTGGCCTTTTACTTTAAGTCAATGTCAGTTTTGCACACATCTCTTGACTGACCTCATGGTAATGGTCCTAAATCTGTCACATCACATTTAAACCCCGTGCAGAAGTTATAATGATTTTCAGGACAAATCTTTAACTTTGTATAAAATGTGTGTCTTCTTGAGCTTCATTGTAAATTATCAGTGATTTTGGGCTATATGAATACAATTTGACTTGACTTGACTACAATAACCCATATGCCATTTAGCATCATTGAGCTTTTCTCATCATTGTTTTTGATTTCAAATGGTGTTGAAACGGCTTCATTCTCATTAACTGCCAGTAGGGGGAAGTAGTGGCCTATGGTAGCATTAAAGAATGTAAAAGGAGTTTGAATTCAAATTACCTGGCATCCTTGTTATAAGGAAAGGGAATAAGTATGTTTTACCCCTATCTCATTTATTGCTACTCTTGAATAATCTACCTGAGGCATTTCAGTGATCACAGTAGTATAACACTGCAGGTGTATTGGCCGTTCCCAGGTTTCTGAGGCCATGCATCACGCTTGTATATAGTTTTAAAGCTTTGAGTAGGCTGGCTGGAGCAGCGGCTGGTTCTTTGATACATTGCAATTTCATTTGAGATCCAAACAGACATACATTCATATACATTTTGAAACATCAATACTTGTCATGAATGCTTTTTTTTAATAAAAAAGATTACACAGTGACCATCTGACCCACCAAGAAGAGTAACAAACAGGCAAGTTGTTGCTGAGATGAGGCAGTGAAGCTGCATAGACCAGCTGAAATTGGCTAGAGGTGCTTGGAGTATTCTGCAGACCAAGCTTGTATTTGTGCTCTTTTGGCCTGGCTGTGTTTGAATTCACTCTGCTAGGAAAGAATAATGAGACAGTGTATGACATGTGGCATATTTCTTCAGTCTTGTTCCCTCGCTGTTACACAATCGAAGAATTTGCATTTTACAGACACTGTCAAACTCAATAAGACCCCTACATCAGTCAGCTGGAAAACAGAAAAGTTAACTCCATCCAATTTCAATATTACATAACAACTGCTGAATCCAGGAGCATATAGAGCACTGTTTTATGCAGATTGTCAAGAATGTACCCTGCCTTTTGCTGTGCTGGGAGCAAAAAATTACCATGCCTTTCATAGAAAAGGCCATCAGGTCATAAAAACATGTAAAAGTAAATTCAGAGATCTCTTTCTACACTAAATGTCTTTCGAAAATAAACTTGTCAGCAATTTCCAGGTTTTATTTTGACATGATTGAAGTTTGAATTTTCATTTCCCTGATAATGGTGTTATGATGTCATGTGTTTCTTGCTACTTAATTCATGACTTCTTATCTTCTTTCTTGGACAATGGACATGTACCGAGACACCCACAGTGTTATATCTACTTTATCTTCTCTCTTTAGTGCCTTAGCAGCTGCTACATTTACTGTCAGCACAAAAACCCTAATTTTTAGGATCTAATCTGTCATTTGTCTATTTTGCGCGTGCTCCACTGCAACAACACATTAATCAAATTGGTTGACCAAGACATTTCATACTTTTTACTGTATGGATTGGTCAAGTAAAGCCAACACATGACTAACTTGTTGCTGGAGCTAACTTTTAAGGACTGATTTATTTATAATTAACTTTGGAAACTAAATTGATGAACAATTTGAGACATTTTTGTTGGTTAAAAAGAAGCCAGAAAATGTGTCTGGATCTCTGAAATCTTACACACCTTTCTCTGCTGTTTTCGTTTTAAAGTAGAATGTGCGTAAATTCATTCATTTGATTATGACAACGCTGAGGCTGAAGAAGACACCCTCCTGTCATTCATTATTAACCAGTTACCAAGGAAGCTGGAGCTAAAACGATGGTTATGTGAGCTCCTAGCAGTCAAGGAAAATGAAGCATTGTTTGCAAAAGTCTTTTTTTCTTTTTTAAAGGGGACCTTTGTGTTTAATTCCAGCTCTTAGTCTGAGACTCCACTAGAGTAGTTTTGCATGATTCACACTTAAAAAACATCCTTATTTCTTTTACATTGTCGGGTCTTTTTCCCTGATATAATGCTGTGCTTCTGCTTACAGTGATTCGCAGTGTTTGTTGCTTCATTTATGTTAGCAGTTAGCTACTTTAGCTGCTAACAGGTACCTGCTGTTAGCTGGTTAGCCATGCAGCTAGTTTAGCTGCCTTATTAAGTGACTCTGTCTGAACAGAGAGCTCAGAGCACGGTGGAAAGTGTCTGCGTTTAATGTTACATTACTAGTACAGCAGCTTCGGAGCTCCGGTGCCTTGAGCTCCCAGTCAGTTAGCGGTTAGCTAATACTTAAAGGTTAGCTAATAGCAACAAGTAAAGCTATTTTGTCCATCTTGGAGCAGAAAGGCTGCAGGGAAAACCAGGAAATATGTAGCCTAACTTTTCTTGACAACCGAAAAAACACTTTCTGCAAGAAAAACCCTGTCCTACTTGGGCATGCTCAGTCATGCTGTACCTTGATCAGTAAAGTAGAAAAGACAATGAAAATATTGCACAGCAGAAATTTTAGCTTTTTGCTCACAGGGATTACTTTGACATATGTAGACCTTATTATTTGACACTTTGGCCATGTTTAATATCAACATCCGACATTGTAACATTGTAACCCTTTTAAAAGCCAGACAGCCTTACCACTAAGAGGCAGTAATGTGTTAAGTCCAGTGTTCCAACCATTTTTAATTTTTAAGAAATTATGAAACAGTGTTGCCTTTTGAGTAGAAACTAGGAATCACATCCTCTGTTTTTTTTTTTTTTAATCTCTTTGACCTACAGCAATTTTGAATGTGTAGTTTTTGTTTTGCTCAATGTGCATTCATAACACTACACACCTACATATTTATATGATCTGTTTTCTACCTCTTTTTAAAAAAAAATACATTATTATTCACACGATCATCTTCTGTTTTTCTAGATATGCCCCCCATGGTGGAGGTGAAGGGGGAACCAGGCCCCCAAGGGAAACCTGGATCAAGAGGCCCCCCTGGGCCACCAGGACTTCCAGGAAAACCTGGACTGGGCAAGCCAGGTCTCAATGGCCCACCAGGCCCCCAGGGGCCTTCTGGCTTTCCAGGGATTGGTAAGCCTGGACTTCCAGGTCTCCCAGGAAAGATTGGGCCAAAGGGGGTGCCAGGGCTTAATGGCGAAGTTGGTCCTCGTGGTGAACCAGGCCCCAGAGGTCCTTCAGGGCAGCCCGGTCTTCCTGGCCCAGCTGGCCTATCTCTAAACGGGAAACCTGGACTTCCAGGCATCAAAGGTCCCTCTGGGTCTCGTGGTGAACCAGGAATAAAGGGTGCTCCTGGGCCACCAGGTGAGCGTGGGTTTAAGGGCGAGAATGGAAATGGGAAGCCAGGGCCTACAGGTATAAGGGGTCTGCCTGGGATTAAAGGTAGTACAGGCCTACCTGGTCATCCAGGTATAGGCAAACCAGGACTAAAAGGTTTGCCTGGACTGCCTGGTCTTAAAGGTGATCATGGACTCCCAGGGGATCGGGGAGAACCAGGAGAGGCTGGGTCTCCAGGTCTACAAGGTCTGCCAGGGCCAGTTGGGTTAGGGAAGCCTGGGCTGGATGGACTGCCTGGAGGACCCGGTCCTATAGGTCCAAAAGGTGAGTCAGGGCCCAGGGGTTCTCCTGGATTTCCTGGGACTCCTGGCTATGGAAAACCTGGTCTAAGTGGACCAAAAGGAGAAAAGGGCCATGGTGGGTTGCCTGGTCTTCCAGGGGACAAAGGAGAGCAAGGAATGGTGGGCCAAATTGGGGAACCAGGACTTGATGGACAGTCAGGACCACCAGGACTTCAAGGCCCAATGGGACTCCCAGGGAAACATGGAATGCCAGGACTGAAGGGAGAGATTGGGCCCCAGGGCCCTCCAGGACTGCCTGGCCTCAGAGGTGACCAAGGCCCCAGTGGACCCTTTGGAAAACCTGGCATTCCTGGGGAAAAAGGCGGCCCTGGGCCTAATGGCCCAATTGGAAAACCTGGACCCAAAGGTGAGGCAGGGCATATTGGCCTTCCTGGGAATCCAGGACTTACAGGTACTCCAGGGCCTAAAGGTGAGACAGGGTTTATAGGGACTCCAGGCCCCAGGGGCCAGTCAGGCATTCCTGGTCTCCAGGGGCCCATGGGTCCCATGGGGCCACAGGGTGTACCTGGCCCGAAGGGTGAACCTGGACTTACAGGGCCACCAGGATTGGGTAAGTTTGGAGAGAAGGGAGCAATGGGTCCCCAAGGTCCTCCAGGGAAACCAGGCCCTGTTGGACTTAATGGTAACCCCGGCCTCCCTGGGCCTCCAGGGCCCCCTGGTCCTCCAGGAAATGGCCAAACAGTTGTTGCAGGGCCAACAGATTCACAGTTGGAAGGGGATGAAGTACCAGGGGACCGGAAGGGGCCTGCATACAGTCAAGTACCACTCTCTGCTTCTGTGGCACCAGCCTTCACAGCCATCCTCTCCACACCTTTCCCTCCCTCTGCCATGCCAATCAAATTTGACAGGACCCTGTACAACGGGCAAAATGCCTACAGCTCTGCTACCGGCATGTTCACTGCTCCTTTATCTGGTGTCTACTACTTTGCATACCACATGCATGTAAAGGGAACTAGCTTGTGGGTGGCACTGTACAAGAACAATGTACCAGCCACTTACACCTATGATGAATACAAGAAAGGCTACATGGACCAGGCGTCCGGTAGTGCTGTCCTAGAGCTGAAGGAGGGTGACCAGGTATGGGTCCAGATGCCCTCGGATCAGGCAAATGGCCTCTATTCTACCGAGTACATCCACTCCTCCTTCTCAGGATTCCTCCTCTGTCCCACATAACCCTGTCCTTCCATTCAAACATATTCCTGTATTGGCACCTCAGAGCAGCCCTAAACCTAAAATACCTGCAGCCATAATAGAAACACAAAACCCATAGGATTCTCAATATTATTGCCATCATCTTTATCTGTCTCACCCTCAACATCTTCAGCGAAAGAAAAAAAACTAACTTTGTGAATGAAATATGGAAAGTTTTTAAAGGCAGGGGAAGGAATTTCATACTGTGTTCTTTGTTTCATTGTCATTCAAATGTGTGTTTTGGGTTGTATTTTATGTTGGTGTTTTTTAGCTTATATTATTTTAATTATTATATTGTCATAATTTTATTGTTATTATTTGGTCCTTGTCATCATTGTTGTTGTTGTTTATTGGATTCAGACTATTAAGTGCCTTACTTTGTAATGTGCTAGTAACAGACCTTCCCATGTGACTGCACATCCTGCCCTCATGCTCTGACATCATAAGGACAACATCACCAGACCCTGGGGGGGTGATTGGTTCCTCACGTCCCCCTCGTGTTCTTATTTAAACGAATTAAATGAATTTAAATGAATGGCAATACTGACATAAAGAGCAACAATACAACGTAGAACATACATACAAACAATAGCAAAACAAGGCATTTGGTGCTGTAATACCATCTTTTTTAACGTTTCTTTTGGTTGACCTTTTTGGTACTCAACAATTGCTACTTTGAAATTATTAATAGAATTAAATCTTTGTGTTTAGAGTGAGATATATATTTTGACAGTTATTTGGCCCAAACATCTGTTGGGTGCTTATTTCTCTGCTTCTCGGTGAATTTAGTAGCTGATCATTTAAAAGTGACGGATCTTTCTTCTAATTTATTGAACTGTACAGAAATGCAGTCAAAGAAATACAATCCAAGAATTAATTAAATATGACCTCACAGTATTAGAATTATTAAATTTAAACTGCCCCTTTAAAGAGTATCAACAACATCATGCAAGAACAATGTCTTTTCTTAAATTTCAGGACGATACTAATTGAGGACGATATGTATGCATACAGTCAATGTTTACATGCCATAGAATATATACTGAGAGAAACTGCAAAATGGACAGTACACTACCATAGCTGGATCGATGGCCCGTTTCCTTGTATCGATCTGATTTTCCCATTTGCTCTGCAAATCCCATCACCAGGTCGCAGGCATCCTCTTCAGATGCTCTGACCATGACATCACTGCTTTCTAATGGTATACTACCTATTAATAAATCAGTATCATATTAACATTCCTAGTGAGCAATCTGTAATGGCATACTATAAAACCCCCGTTCTGACCACATATCTGTGAAGATGCTGTGAGCTCATTTATGTTTTGGAAAAATTAACTAAAATTATTGATTAGTTAAAATAAATCCATGTGTTACTTTAATGCCAGCTTCTGTGTGACTTGTTGCAGGACAAATGAGAGCAATTTGGAGTTATTTGTAGTTGAGAATGACAAGACATTCTACTAATTCCCAAACCATTATGTCAAAAATAGCAGAATTATTGTTTATTTTTGTGGAACATCCATGTTTTCAAGGCCAAGATGTTTCAGAACCGAATAATTTTAAAGTATATAGCTGGAAATGAGAATCGATCTGCATTTACTCCATGAATAAGTAAAGGGACTGACTGAGGCCCACAGGTTGTGAAATACAGGTTGTGTAACATTTAACAAGCCCCTGCCAAAGGGAGAGGTGGTGGGCCAGAGGTGAGTGAACGTGTATTTACTAATTTCTGTTGGATGAGGCATTAAAGATACATGCTGTGTGTCTGTGTGTATGCATGTGCTTGTATGTTCTAGTAGGTGTACGCTTCTGTCTGTCACTGTGTCAATATTTGTGTGTGTGTGTGTGTGTGTGTGTGTGTGTGTGTGTGTGTAGCTGTGTAGCTGTGTCACATTGTTCCCCTTGCATTCCGGTCATGAGCACTTCAGCAAAGGTAATAACAAACTTGTTGAAGTTATAAAACCTTAGTGAGAGCTTACAGTCCTGTCAATGTTCCACATGAAATCTGACTTCAAAACGTATCAGCCTCCTTTTGGGTTCATTTCACACTCTCTAATGGTGCCTTTGCAAAGTAAGGGAAGAAAATGATAAAATAGGTGAATGATGAATGTAATAAATGGATCACGTGAGACAGAGAAACCTGAAGTTAAACCGCCATAATGAGATCAGAAGACAACATTTGCTAGACATGAATTACTGGTTAACACTGAACATTTTTTGATATGACCATTTTGCATATTGGTCCAATGAGTGGCATTATGGTGTGCAATAATTTTTGTGTTGTACCAAGTCATGAACAAAAAAAAAGACATTCTGGTGACATGTGCAAGATCTTTTATCAGTGGTTGCAGTTACAGATGGGAAGAGATAAAGAGGTTTGGGCAAAACTGAGAAACGCTGGTGTTTATATTACCGACTATGTGCCTTTACATTGCCTCGGCTCAGACAGGATTCAAATCTTAACACTATCATTACACTGAAGTTAGGACTACCTTACACCTTGATGGAGGAATGTCAATGTACAAGAAGATTGTGCCAAATATTGAGCTTTACTGTCAGAATGAATGTATGCTGACTGATTTACAATAGTTCCTATAAATTGTCTACCATAACTAGGGATGGAAATTGATAAGACTGCTCATTAGATTGATTCTTTGTTGATTCCCTTATTGATTCCTGATCTGAAAAAAAAAAAACACACAGGTTAAATGTTTTATTATTTCTGAGTCTGAACACAGTGTAGAAAAAGAGCAGGGTTATAGTGATTCAACTTTCTTTGTGAAATGAGGCCATGCTTTGGAGCACTTCTTCCTCTCCGCCATTACTCCTTCTTTTTGCAAGTTTCAAGCAGTGTAGACACTTGAGTTTGACATCATTGTTTTGCAATGCCTAAGTGTAAAAAAAAACATGCTGGCATTGATAAAAGGAACTGACAAGCTTGGCGGCATTCAACTCAAATGGATTGGACTATTTGGAACTGGTTCTTGATTCCCATCCCTGAGCATAACAGATAACACATACAAACAGTAACTCTTGAAGTTGCTTTAGAAAAGCAGTGCTAGGATAAGGCCTAATCAGTATTTTATATATGTAATGCAAACAATGCACTTGGTCTTGCCCTTTCTGTCTAATAATTACATTTTCATAACACACCTACAACTGCTATCTATCATTATTGTTATGTGAGTCTACAAGGCAGTCCGAGGCTCGTTATGTACTGTATGTTGCCTTTTTTTTTTTTTTGTCGCCTTCTATTTTTGGACATATGAAACGATGATGTGAGTTACATGTGGCCATTACTCTCTGTCCTTATGTTTTCATAGACAATGTCACTTGCTTGCAGAGTTTGCCCTGTGTGCAAATCATTTAACAAGTGTCAGTAAGATCCATGTACCGTCTCAATCACAAATTACTTTGAAGTGTTTTTTCTGTTTTTCTTTAAAAAAACAAAACAAACAAAAAAAATATATGATTTTTTAAAAAGCCTTGCTTCGGTTCTTAAGGGATATTTGTTTGTTTTAGTTTCAATAAATACAAACGGCCATTCCCATTTGCACATGAAATTAATGAAGATGTATTTATACATTTATGATAATTTAATAGGGATGCCAAAACCGACCACCGAAGCCTAGAACGTATAAATGGTATTTAACAGCATTGATGAGTTAAGAGCATTTACAACATGTAGTTAGCATTCTAGCGTTGTTTGTGAAGGATTATTTGTGGACTTTTACTTTCTATTTGTGTAATGTTCAATGTATCAACTTATAGGATTTTTGTCATACAAGGCTATTGCGTGCACTCTATGCAATAGAATTTGGGTATAAAATGCACTCTTTTTGATTGAAAATGTTTGTCTGCTTATACAAAATCTACAGTACTTGATTGTATTGATACCACATCAATAAAAAAAACTTTCTTGTATGCTGGTGTCAGGCTCCCATTTCTGTCTACTGTGTCTACATGTGGTCATTGTAAAGAAAATGTAAAATCACTGTAATCCTCACTACCACAGCTCCCAATTTTGTATTATTAGTAGTAGTATTAGCTATATTAGTAGCCCCTGAGTAGTTGTAGTAAATCATTTTCTATGAGATCTTCATGGCACATTTGGAGTAGTAAGGTAGAAGGAAGTAGAAGGAATGAACACTAGAGGGAGATATACAGTTGTTGTGAACAGTATTTCAGGCCTCTACATTTTGAAAGAGCCTTGTCTGATCTGCTGCAAGCAAGCTAAGAGTTGCATTGACAGGCTTTTGTTTGCAAGTTCATATCACTTTGATAGCAAATGTGTCAGACACTTGCAATGTTCAGTCATTATAGGTTCATATCCCAAAAGGTGTTAACTTAAAATGAATATACATATAATATCAATCTTTGTATTGGTTTGCCATGTTGCGTCTATGCCATCCTAAGAGAAAAACACTCAAATAGTCCTTGTAGCAAATCATGTGTAACTTAATGGTGCTAGATAGCGATGGTATGATGATGAAGTTTTGCTGATACTGGCATCCATCTAAAACATGTGGTTTGAACATAGATGTATCTGATATAGCCTATATATAAATATATATAGCCTATTTGTAAATACATACACACAAACACATTCTTAAAGATAATAAATTAAATGTTAGATTAATATAAGTAGACCCACAATGCCTATAACATGCATGACCTCTAGTGTCCATTAACGCTGCTAGAAATGTGATTGGATCAACACAATAGATAAAGTCTGTGTTGTAGAGCAACCCATGAGCGGAGGGATAATATCGTGCGGTTATTTTCTGGAACTGTCGTCACCATGGTGAGCTGTCATCGTGCACCCGGATTCTTCTTACGTCGTATTGACGCCAGACCCTCCGTGCTGCATTCGGGTGATCCCGCTAAACTTCTACATCTAGCTCGAGTACTTGAAAAGCGTCTGCTCTTGTAACGGCGTTTAACAGCTGCCGGTATAATTGGCCTATTCTTATAATTAAATTAATTAAGCGAGAATTGAGCCATAGTGTGTTACAGCAGGGGAGCAAATAGAGAAGCGCTCATCAAACAAATGTTGCCACGTTTTAACCACATAACTCTTACAAAGACCATGTGGTTGGAAACGTCTGGAGAATGTTTATTTACTTGTTTGATTTAACATAAACTGTTCATTAGTCTGCACCTCGCAGTGGGGGGCTTTCTCAAAATTACAAAAGCACATGTACACTCGACTCGTATGCTGTAGAGATTTCCCCGTTGTTTCTCACTCTGTGGACCCGATGTTAACTTGGACTGCCTAGTAAGTCGAATATCCGACGGTCCCTGAAGGTATCCACGCCGAGGAGGCTCCTCCCCAACAACAGTTCCCGACCTCCGACGAGAATTCAAGCTGCCACATTGAAGAGGAACAAAAAGGCGACCTAGCAGCGGTTTCTACACTCCCTCCACTTTCTCCGGGGTAGTCACGGGATTTCAATGTTCAGCCTGCTCTTTGTAAGTAGATAATAACCTAATTAACTAAAAACTGTCCTTTTGGAACTTGTCTCTGATGTGACGGTACACGATTGCAACACCACACATCCGCAAGAGCCTGGTTAAAAGTTGGGCTGCATATTGTTAGACGATTAGAGAGACACAAGGGAGCTAAAGTAAGTTACATGAGTGGCTGTCTGAGTAGACGAGCCAGTGTGTTGCTACATTAACGTTAGCTCGCAGAGCAAAGCTTGGACGGCTATAACGTGGGCTAACGTACAATGTTGAAAATTGTGTTAACGTGTGTTAATACCAACCCTCATTGTTTTGCCAATCGATGTAACCCAAGTGAGTTGTTGCCGTATCTCTGCACTAGTTGCTAAACGTTGCTGGGAAATGCAAAGTGACGGAGCTGAGGTAGCTTGCTAGCTAATGTAGCTACGCTAGCTTGCTATCAGGGCTAAAGCTATTTCTTTGGGTAACGTTAATTAAAAAGAAAAAGCGGTGACTAACGTTACAACCAGCTGTATCGCTATGCGGCCACTGGCTTTAATTTTTGTTTTGACGCACGGCACATTACACGACGTGTTATTGAACAGACTGTCGTCCGCAATCTCCTGAACTAAGAGCTAACGTTACCCTGGGCTATACAATGAGCGCTCGGTGTGTCAGTGAAGATAGCATTTCTCATGGACAACATCTAGCTGTACGTTCACGACGCGTTGGTTAACGTTTTAACTTGCTGTTGTGGCTACTGGTCACTACTGTTGCACCGTTTGACTGTTTATAAATTATAACCGGTGTTTGTGAGCTGCAGTCATTTTCCAGCTTCTTTTGGTTGTTTTAACGGTGGTCTCGGACCTCGGTAGTATTGAGAAGCTGTGCTAGAGATAGATGGCGACTGAGCTAGCTAGCTGCCTTCCGCCCTTTGTGACAAATCTTGACCCAGAGTGTGGTTGACCTATTTATTTGAAGCCATAAGCCAAGCTAACATTTTAATAACAAATCCAAAGTGGTCGGCAACCCGATATTTCCTGTCTGTCGGTTGTCGTGTCTTAGGTGCTCGTTTTGGATTGTCCAACTACAGTCATTATTGTTAACCAGCCGGGTTGACTCAGTAAATTCGTCAGCCTTCCATGTATAAATGTAGCTAACACTGGGGTTAGGTGGGGTCTATAATTTAGCCGTGTCTGGTTTCCTAAAAGAGAAAGCACCCAAGCATTTAGCCATGTTGGATAAAGTGAAATGAGGAAATGCACTTGGGGAGGAAGTTGAGTAGAGCAGCTGTGACACTAAAGGCCGCAGCACATTCCCATGCCTCTCAGTTTTCAATTTATGACCTTCCAGTGGTTTCAGTCTCCTCACTGATAATACATTCTAGTGGGCAGTTAATACAAATGAATAGCTTTTGAACACTCCTACCAACATGGGTGGATGAGTCAATGAGTAACTGGTGTAACAGGTAAGCTAATTATACATTCCTGCTTATGAGTCACTGCAAGGTGACCTAATTTGCCTGCAGCAAGACGATGGGATGAGTTAATACAATAAGTTATCAAAACAAACAGAGAACATAGGAATGTATAGTGGAAGTAACATGAGAGATTCTTGGGTGTAGCTAATTCTTATGTTTTCTTCTATGAACATCTCTTAATTGTGCAGCAAGGGTTGGCTCAAATTGTACCACTTTGGGGTTATGCTAGCAACAATGACACGCACTTGCTTCTTAAACAGACTAGGATTTTCACAACTCTTACAGAATAGCACTGAGAGTCTTTATGCTCTATTTGCATTTTATTGTGAAAGTAGGTCACTCATACTGGTGACCTGCTTTATATTATAGCTAATTGACACATGATGCACAGCCCAATCTAGAAATAGCATAGCTCCTCTCAGTCCACTTAGAGCAGAGCCTGCAGCCAAAGGCAGGCCTATACAGTGGAAAGCCCTCATTCATCAGATTCCACAGGACAAGTCAAACTTGTGCTTGCTGTGAGTCCAGCCTTTATGAGCAGTGGTCCTTTTTTCATTTTGCTGCTTTTTGTTTTGTACTTGAACAAGAAAAATTCTTAATTTCTGTCTGTAATGCCTCAGTAAAAAGTTGCAGAACTTGGATATATATTTGTGTGAAGGAAATCATAGCTGAAATATGATCCACAGTAAGTAAGTAATATTGTTGTGTTTTGGGAAGAGGTAGTACTAGAACCATTTTAAAAGTGTGACTGACTGGCATCGTCTTTAAATTTGCATCGCCTGTTCTGCTTAATGATGACACATAACATTAGTGTATGTTAAGACTGAAGTGTGCGATAGAAGGTGTAAACCCAGCACTATGCTGAAATGATATTTTACACCAGCAAAAGGGTGGTTCCGCTATCCACAGGCAGTATTAAAAAAGCCAATGTGACAAGGGAAGTTCTCAGCCTTGGTTACCGTAACTGTGAAAGGCGAGCCCAGTGTAGAGTAACATGACGCCAATTTACCAAGGAGGTTACTGGGGGAGAAGAACACCTATGTTGTAGCCTGCTGGCATTCAGCCCATCTAGCCACAGGGTGGCTGTGAGTGTTGAAAGGTGGGGTTGAAGAGGTCCGTTCCTCAGTGACTGGCTTAACAGATTTGGCCAATTTAAAATCTAGTTTTGCCCCTGGGTGTCTGGCTGTGGTGAGAATGGAACATAAGCTTTGGTTTTTACTATGTTTTCACTTGCTAAGATCCCTGGCTGCAGGGCAATTTTGTTGTGTTGAGATCGTCCCAAAGTGGAAAAGCTAGGATTAGATGCCCGCACTTTTCTCTTCTTATTTCACATGAAAAGCCATAAACAGTTATGTATCAGTAGCCATGGGCACCTTGTGTTTCTTGTGCTGTGTATTGGTTAATGAATCATGCCCCGGTCGGCACGGTGTTCGTTTACTGTTGTTGCCACAGCGCTGGGATAAAGCAAAGGCACAGGCTTATGAGCACTGGCAGTGTCTGACAGATTGACACCTCTTCTAGATGCTGCTGCAATGCTCCCTACTGAAACTATAGCAACAGGTAGGAATAGGATCTTGCTTTGTTATTTGTGTTTACAGCTACCTTGTCAAGCTACAGCTGCCAGAGCTGCAGTTAGCAGGGGAAACACTGTCCATTTCCAAACATGCTATAGTAAAAGGTGTTGGTATTGTTATTAGAGCTGTTGTTTGTAGGTGTGTGTAGCTGCTCACTCTTACTGATCCAGAAAGTGTTCTAGTTTTCGAAGCAGCTATGGTACAGAAAATGCTGGGTTATTGCATATAAAAACAAGCGTGCTGTGTTTTCCTATTGCCTCGGCAGTGTTTTGTTTCTCAGTGGAGCTTGGCTTTTTCTTAATTTCCTTAAGCAGCTTATTAAACACATGAAATGTGTGAGTACCTCTCACAGCATGACCTTAAACTAATGTGTTCATTGTGACCATAATCTTTAAAAAGATGGATTTGCTACCAAAAGCTGATCT